AAATACAATTAATACATTAACATGACCATAAATAATCAACATATTTATGGTAATCCAAACCTAATTATTTTTGGTTTGTAATTAAATTAAAATTTATCCAAACCTAATAACGAAGCATGTAATTTTGTCATATAGGATTCTGAAGCACCAGAAGCAGCCACGTAGGCTCAGCGCATTCTGTATTAATATATAGGGGAGGGGATTCGGGATATTATCAAACACTTTTATTTTATTACCTACTTTATTAGTGAACTTTTATTTTATTACCTAATTTATTACTATTGAATGACATATAAAAATCCGAAATTTGGTATAAATAATCATTTATTAGCCAGCTCTTCATTGATTTGTAGCACGGTAATTCGTGTGGGGTGAAAAAGAACTCTTCATTTCTTTTGTTTTCCCACCAAACAAATGCGACAAACACAAACGCTGCCCAATAAACAAAAAGGAAAACGGAAAATATAATAAACAAAAAACTCTCTCCCGCTATATTCAGAGAGCCAAAAGGCGGAGCAACTTTTTTTTTTTTTTTTCCTCTCTCTCTCTCTATCTAGGGTTTGCAGAGAGAACTGTCGATCTATTTCTACTTACACGACGCTTGATATCTTCGGCTCGCGAGCAATGGCTTTTTGGGGTAAGCCTGTTCTTCTTCTCCACCTCTTCGATCATTTGTAGTGCGTGCTTGCTTATCTGTGGAATATTTGCTTGCCTTTCGTTCGTTTTTTTTTTTTTTTTTTTTTTTTTTTTTTTTTTTTTGTGTGTGTGTGTGTAAAATATACTGTTGTCTATGTGTTTTTTTCAGGCGTCGAGGTGAAACCTGGAAAGCCAGTCACTCACTATTGCGAAAAGGCTAGAGGAAGGCTTCGAATTTCTCAGGTAAATGTTTATTCAATGGAATGGTCTATTGGGCTAGGCAAATGTTTTGAAGTTTTATTTGGATTTACATTTTGAATGAGGATTTGTTGATACACTTTTCTTCATGAAGCACAATAGATGGGTCACAAATTGGATGAGGGAGATTTTTCCAATTTTTTGTGATTTGTGTCATTCTCTGGGATTCTGCCAAAATGTTTATTGTATGATACGATTTTGCAGTGTTATTTGTTATGTGTACTGTCTATTCTTACTAATGTCATTGTCGCTGTAATTGATTTGGTCTATTAGGCAACTCTTGGAATCGGTGATGCTACAATGAGGTCAACAGTGCAGTGTAATGTGGGTAGAAGGAGTCCGGTTTTGCTCTGTGTGTTGATTCCCGAAAAAAAGGAGTGTTGCCATTTAGAGTTGGAATTCGAGGAGGCTGATGATGTGGTCTTTTCTGTTATCGGCCCACGAAGTGTTTACCTCAGTGGTTATTACATCCAGAAAATTCAGGGCATATGTCCTCACAGTGATTCGTATCCTTATATTGTGTTTGCTCTCTTTTTATGCTAATAATTTTGCTTGAGTTTGTTTGCACGTTTATTTGGTTCAGAGTTTCGATTTCTTAGATTCCTTTACGCCTGGCACAACAGAGAAACATTGGGTGCAGATATTGAAAACACCAATACGGAAGGATCTGGCTATCGTAGTGATGATGATGATGAATATGGCGGCAGTTTCATTAACGATGATCACGAGTTACAGTTTTCTCCAGAGTCCCCTGTCGAATGCAGTAAAGGTACGTTTCTGGAAATTTGAATGTGAATGCTATCTGTTATAGTGCTCTTAGAACTGTATGACAGTAAATACTTCAAATGCAATTTGTTAACTTTATGTGGCTGTTACATTTCTGGCATGGGCCACATTAGATATCCTATCCTGAGAGCCCTATGATAATTCAGGATTCCTAAAGGTTTTAGTAATTCATCGGGCATTCATGTTTGGGAAAAAAGTAGACGTCAGTGATTTTGAATTCTTATCGTGGTTGTTTACCATCTTAAACAAGGCTTGAAATTGTGGTAATTGAAGGAGTGAATGAAGAAGCTACACCAGAAAATGATGAGTTGGAGGACAACGAGCTGGCACATGGTGGACAAGGTAGGAAGAACTACCAAGCAATTGCATCAGATGATGATGCTGATTCGCATGAAAGTGAAGATAAAGTTCCCCATAGTTTATCTGCATCGAAGAGTAAAAGTGACGCGGAAGAAGACGATGGTGTGTATGGTGTTGACAAACTGGATGGGTAATAAATTGATTTACTATTTCAGGCTATGAATGAACTTTCTTCATGTGATTGTCCTTCTACCCTTTCACATATAAGGACTTTGAAATGTCCTCTTTCGTGAAGTGGATATATGGTTTCTGGGGTCTGTGGCAATGTTTTGATTATGGTTTTAATCAATTTTTTTTTTTTTAATCCTTGAATTCTGATAGTGCTGTCCTACATGCGTATAATAATGCCATGGAAGAGGAGACGCTTGAGGAAACTAATGTTTCAATCAAAAAGGTCTTAACTGGAAATCCGATTCATGAAAGTAATGCAAAAGACGCAGTCAGCAGTCAGAGTCTGCCCACGAGCATAGGGAACGATGAAACACCATTCCGTGATCTGTGAGCATCATCTAACAATGTGTTGTTTGTACATTTTTTTCAGCTTTTTTACATTTTCTGACTTGCCATTTATATAGTTTACTTCTTTGTTGGGGGTGTGAGGTCAGTGAAAAATCAAAAAGGAAAAGAAAAAAGCACTCAAAGGAGGAGAAAACCCACACATGTCAAGCAGACAAGGATAACACTGTTCTGGCAGAGGATAATGTGCATGAGGTTGAGGCCTCCAATAACACGTAAGAACCTTGTGTGTTTGATTTATTGATAATAGCCTTTCCTAATGTTGCATCTTTATCGTGCTGAGTTTCCTTCTAATATTAAGTACACTCTCAATCAGTGATATCAGTGGAAATCCCAAAGATGGTCTATCAAAGAAGAGAAAGAGTGAACTGCAGCTGGAAGGAATAAGTGTAAAAGGAACTGACAGCCATTGTGGTTTACAGCAAGCTGAAAACCAGACTCAAGAACAACCGGGGTTAGAACAAATTCATACAGACGAAATTGGTGAAGAAGAAAGGGGAGAAGATCAAAACCAACAGATTGATAAGTTAGTACCCAGCTGCTTTTTCTTTGTTCTAGGTTTTCCTTTTATTGAATATATTTTCACTTGCATATATAGTAAGACAAGATCACTAGGTTGGAATGTGGTTATTCTATCCATACACTGTAATATTATTTAGGTTCAATCGAACTACTGGTGAGCTATGCTTATAATGATTATTAGGTGTTAGGCTTGGAACTTTGGAACTTCAGGAGAAATATTAGATTTTTGACAGTTGGAAATGAAATCAACGAAGAGTTTATGTTGGAACTTGGAAAACAGTATAAGAAGATAATGCTTTTGCTCTCTAGCAGCATCATCATCAAGCATTTCCACTTTGTATCATTCCTTTTTGTAACACAAATATCTTCTTGCAGCATCATCAACACAGTATATGAGGAGATACTAGCTAGTTATGGCCAGCCTGACAAAAGGATTAAGAAAAAGAAGAAGAAAACTCCGTTCAATGGGAACTTGAACATGGGCACAACTGTTGTGGAATCTAATAATCCAGAAACCACACTCATGGAAAGTGACGACCAGAGTCCAAATGCAACCATATCAAAGGGGGGTTTAATCATTGAGGAATTAGACTGTGGGCCACCTGATGCTAAAGTAGCTGCACCTGGTAAAAAGGTATATTTTTGTCATCTAATCATTATCTAATCATTATACCTGTACAAAATTAGTTGGGTTATGTTCTTGGTTGATTTTATTATGATGCCAGTTACTGCTATGATTGAATTTAAACTCCGATCAGGTTAAAATTTATTATACGGCCATGGTGAAGGACATTGGGCATGTTTTCGACTCGAATGTTGGTAAAGATGCTCTGTGTTTTCGGTTGGGCAACGAAGATTTCATTGATGGCTGGAATGTTGGCATAGATGGTAGCTACTTGTGAAGCCTTCTTACTACTTTTCTGTATTTGTTTATTCATTTTCTTCAGGTTTAATTTGCAATATTTGAACATGATATCACTCAGGTATGCGTGTCGGCGGAAAGAGGAGGCTTATCGTCCCACCTTCAATGGCGTATGTTTTGAAATTTCTAAATGCAGAAACTTCTATTTGTGTCTAATTTTGTCCAGAAAAAGTTCACTTTTTTCTTTCTGATCTGCACTTTCCATCTATCTTACGTGTTTTTTCGCTTGTGGTATCAGTTTTGGAGATAATGCAGTGGGAGAAGATGTTCCACCAAACTCATGGCTGATATACGAAATTCATCTGCTTAGTGTACGAAGATAACCTCGTTGGCTTCGGTCTTTTCTCCTTCTCTTCCATCTTTGTGGTTTTTGCCTAAATGGGAAGAGACTTGGATTGAAACAAAAGAAATGGGGTCTGAAGCTAATGGTCCAGTTGAAAAATACACTTTAGAGTCAGAACAGTTTGATTTTATTTGGCCTTTTTGCTTTTTTCTTTTCCCTTTTATGTTCAACCCTCTATTAAGTATTAAATTACATTTCCTTCATCCAGTGAACGAGTTTAAAATCTCCGTGTGAGCTGGGCTGTTAAAGCTTCGTTTGTTTAGCCATGGGGAAATTGATGCATTCCTACTTCCTAGTTTGTATTTGTTTAAATTTCAAGTATTTAAGGAAAAAATAATAACAAGAGGGGCTGCCAAACCTAATGCCAAGATGAATATAATAACAATGTGATTGCCAATTACCCCTCTGAATGAATACAACCAACGCAATTTGAAGGTCTCTTGTAGTGTTACTGCTCAGTTGCACAGGTCAAAAATTGATACAGCCTAGTGGAAAAACATCTTTCAGGAAATTTTGACACATTAACGCAAAGATAATTTGATTCGGGCATCAAAATGTGTGTTCAATTTTCAAAACCATTCCAAAACATTCTTTAGATAATTGGTACAAAAGCATTCGAGATCTGAGGACGAGCATACACATTAAACAGCAGCATAGGGCCCCAACAAAACTGAATTATATATCACTATCACGACTCCTCAGATTTCGGTTCCTCTTTCACCATGAATATTCTTGCTTCATTCTCCGGAATATCACTGTACACAAAAGATTGGGAAACAAATACTTCAAAATATAATAATTTATTTAGTAAAAATTGGTGTGTGCATAAAAGTCGAACAAAATTCAGAAACAAATAGCCAGGAGACAAGTCAGACCTCTCGGGTGCTTCATTCTTGCTTATTAGCATCACTTCCTTCGATGCCAAATATTCGGAAAAGTTTTTAAGATGATTGTCACTGGCGAACTTGTGTAGTTGGTGCAAGAAATCATTGAACAGTTTTGGTTCCTGCATAATATAGACATTAAAATATATACAGAGGGAATGCCTCTCAAAATTCTTTTTTTAAAGAAAAATATATATATTTTTTATTTTAAAAAGAAGAAAATGAGGTATTACGAGAATTTCGAATGAAAGTTTACCTGCTCCAGAATGCATCCCTTGCGTAGACCGACTATATATTCCAGCACTTTCTGATAGCTATCTCCATCAAAAGTTTTCTCAAGAAGATTAAATATCTTATCTTTCATGCTCTGAATAGCTTTACCAACCCACTGTGGACTATCTCTTCGGGAAATCATGGCTTCAAAGTCTTGAATGGGATTCGAATCCCCAATTTTCTCGACTTTGACTTCGGATGTATATTCAATAGCATCCATGGCTTGGCCACTGGTACCAGTACCCTCTCCCTCCTCATTTGACCCTGAAGGTATTTCTCTAAATACTCTTCGTGACGATTTTTTCAGCTGCAAGATAGAAACAGAATTATTGAACATTTCAAAAGGAAAGGAAAGAAATAGTTCCGCTTTGGGATATGCAAATGAATGTGACCTTTGGATTCTCTTTGACCTCAAAGCACCTTCGGAACTCATTAATCACAGCTTCGTTTTGAGAAATAAGTTCCGGGTCAGGTTCTGTAATTCTTCTGAGGGTCTCATCGAGTGGAGGGACTGCCGCATGTGGGTCCTTAGATTTCAGCTCGAGTGTGCGGTAATAACGCTGGAGATTTATGTAACACCTTTAATTGTAAAAATAGACACTAGCAAGTAGAATGGGTATAACGTTCGATATTTTATTCACAATTTTTTTCTCTTTGTAATTCCGATTTCATTTACCTTCAAGTGAAACTTCAACTATTTTAACGCATAGAACAAACAACTAGTCTGGTTTAGTTTAGAATGAGGCTCATCTAAGATTAGTTCTATAGATTTTTAGAAGCTTGCAAATAATCTAATTGGTATTTGAAAGGGCATCATTCTTTGAAATGGCTTCAAGTATTCTATTTCCATCAAATTTAGTAACTGCAAAGACATGCACGCCATTTTCTAGAATGCTTTTCAGCAAAAAATAAATAAGTAAATAAAATATATGTACAACTCAGCAGGAAATTGCTGCACGTTAGATTCTTATGGACAGTCAGTTGATAAGACAAGAAACTGAACTGAACTTCCATAAAATTTAGTTATTTTCAATGCAGTAGCATCCAAATAATTATTGTTAATTTACCTCTAGAACAGGATTTGGTGTGAGATTGGGTTGCAAGGCTTCCTCTCTGCCAGGTGGAGCAAGATCAAGCATTTGGACCAACTTATCTGCAGCCTCTTGCTGTTGTGCGTTTGGCTGCATTGACGAAGGCAGATTGCTAAGAGATGGAAACTGGAACTCCCTCACATCCTCCGCAAAAGGAAGTATGTTGAAATAGAATGAATCCGGCTGCAAAAAAATAAGGGTAGAAAAAAAAAAAATAAACAGAAACACATCAATAACCCGCACACTAAAAAGGCAGTACAAACTTGCAAATTATGTCCCAATAACTTACAACATTATCTTTCTCGGATATATTAGGAGTTAGCACCCCAATGACAACATTCGTCTGCCCTTGTCTCCAAACACAACGTACAATAGCTACTTTATTCATTTCCTTCATTGCTCTTGCTAATGCAGAAATCGCATTAATTGCCTTTGTCTTTCCAGGTTCAGCAATGAAGATGTTGACATCTTTCATGTAATAGTGCCTTAAACCACAAATTATCAATATTTTGACAAGAACTAACTAAATAAGAAAACATTTTTTTTTTTTTACCTCATGACATTTGAAGCCTTTGTAAAACCTAGAAGCTTCACGCCTTTCTCTGGTTTGAACTTGACAGCATCCAACTCAGCAGATGATATAGGGATTACCTGAGGACCATATCGGTACCCTCTGATCCTTTGTTCGGGTGGTATAACTCTACCAGGATTGTCAATGCATTTGTACTCGTAATCAACCTTGATTTCATGTGTGGCAAATTTATCTGTGGGAGGCGCTTTATCTGAATACTTCTTGAAGGTGGGGAATTTCTCTTCACATGTTTTCTTGTAGACCCATACCTGATATGAGAATACAATTTATCTCCTCTAATTATATACGTAAAAAAAAAGCACGAAAGGTTCAAAAAAGGAAAAAAAAAAGAATCTAAAATGTAGGCCATTGTTACATAATGAACAAAAAATAATTTGGCCACAAGCAAAAAAATTGCAAATAACTCAAAATATATAATACTGTCAGGGAGAAAAAAACTATGTAAAAGCGAACTTTCCTGGAGCCTCACCTTGATCTTAACGTTAGGGCTCAGTTCGAAATCGCCTCTGTACACAGTTACAGGTGATATATTACGAGTCCGAAGAGCACCTAATAGTGAAACTCCACTCTCAACATACACTTTCGAAGATTTGTGGGAGAATATACTCAGCAGGAAATCATTCTCATCCAAGACCTCCTTTTCGATGCCCGAGCCTTGTTTTGCTCTGACAATGACACAGTCCATCTTCATGCCATGTGTACTCATTTGCTGGGCAACAGTCTTCACTTGATCCTCTTTTGTCCCCTCGAATGGATCTTTGGTTGGGGTAGCTGCATCAGTTATGAGACATAAGCGTTTTTTCCCCTTGTTGGTGGGCCCGTACTTTTTAATCATCATATCCATCCCAACCACAATTGCATCAAGAACTTCAGGTCAGTTAAGGAAACAAGTGGTTGTAACATAAAAAGAAAATGTACAAATAAGAAGATTATTACAGTTCACAATTTAACTATTTTCTAAAGTCCTTGATAGAAAAATCAACTCCATTATATATTGTCATAATCACTACCTTTGTCCATAAAGTAGGCCTAATTACAATTGTACAAGTAAAAGAGATTTCACATGACATTACGAGGTCCACTGGTTGAATAGTCACATTATTTTTTAAAATAAAAATTAACAGAAAATTAAGAAAAAGTGGCAACCAGAGATTTAGTTTGAGCCATTAGAAAAAAAGAAATGTAGATTTTGCAGAACACAAAGCACAAAATTGGATACAGTCTCCATGTACAGTTCCTCGAGGAAGACAATGTAAAGCTTCCACAAGGTCTCCATCAACAACCTTTATATCCCGCAAAACCTTGACATTGTCATATCCACCCACTTCCACTGTCAAGTCATTTTTAGTATCTGAAAAAAATACAACCATAAATATCTATTATGTCTCTTATATGAACAAGATCAGAGGAAAAAGGTCCGGAATACAATCAAATATCATATAACAGGTAAAGTGGACAAATTTCTTCATACGGAAATATTGGTGACTTAACTATTAACATTCCAAAAATCTTTTTTTATCACCATTTAAACATAAACATAATTAATACATTCACTTCATTTCAAAAGAACAAGTCACTTAAATATTACAAGCTAAACTACGTACAATTTTTTTTTTTAAGAACGAAACTATAAAGAAATTTCAAAGAAACGAAAGAATCCTGAAACAACCACTATATCGATTCCAATTTCCAACACTCGAAAATACCTGCAGTACCAAATGCCACGACCCCCACCTCATCAAACTTGCTGAAAATCAGCTGCATAAAATAAAAATTTAAACTTTAGAAAAGAAATAAATAACATAACACATAACACAGTTTGCATCACGATAGAATTTCTTGATTTATTCAACTATAATTCTACTGAAGATTCGTAAAAATAAATAAAAAAATGAAAAAAAAATGCAAGAATGTCCATTTTTGGGGCAAATTACATAGGGCAAATCTTTGTCGCAGCATGAAAATTTCAAACGAAACTACCTCTGTTTTACCTTCTTCTGTATGAGCATAGAACAAACTTTTTCTACTTCTGGCAGAAAAGCGTGCATCGATGGGCCAACATCAAGCACCAAAATCAAACCCTCCTGTTAACATAACATAAAAAATCATGAAAAGAAACAATATTCTAAAGTTCGTGTTCATTCTCAGCAACTCGTGAAGATTTATGGAGTTACGCAAATCAATATGCAGCATTTTTTTCTCCTACAATCAATAGTAGGAATAAGTTATGCGCAAACAATCGCATAACCTAACTGTGATAATTAAGAACCCCACATAAAACGTATGGATAAAAACGGAGAAATTGAGACGAAAGGTACCTTGTTTCGAGCCATTACAGAGCATGAAATTGCAGAGATTTTGGTGGAGAAAGTGAGTTGTTTGATTAGTCTCTTGAGCTTCTTCTGTACTATTTTGTTCCCGCGCAATGGGGTCAATGTGAAATTTGTTAAAGCTTTTGGGTGAATTGGACATTAGCTTCCTGCAGAATTTTCATTAGGAAGACAACAAAACAAAACATTAAAAACAAAAAGGGGGTAAAAAAAAAATGAAAATGAAAATGAAAATCAACATTATTTTTCATGTAATGGTTGTTGGATATCTTTCATTTAATTCATTTTTTTTTCTATGAATAAATGTATTGGGAAATTAATGATTATTTTAATTTCAAGTGAGATTAGATAAAAAAAAATTCTATAATTGAGAACAAATATTTGAGCACATTAATATTAAATTTTATAATTAAATGTATCATTAGGGTTCATCCCTAATTTAATAATTTTATGGAAAATATCAGTGCAATAAAGGCTATAGAGCAAGAAAATGTTAAATACTAAATTTTTTTATTGATTGATGGAATAATAATTTCGAATATAATTCCAATTGCACTCATAATTGCTCAAAATATATATCCAAATCTCAAGCACAACAATTGTTAAAAAAATCATTGCAAAAAATAAATATATAAACACACATTCATAAAAAGACTTCAATTTTCAAGCACAAAACTTAAAGTTCACTTCCAAGTTCCAACTATATTAATTATTTATTCATCAAAATAGCAAAAAATTTGATTCGATTACACAATCATGATATAGATGGGCCGGCCCAAATTCATAACCTGTGCCTATTCATGACAGCCCAACAGGCCAAGCTCGGGTTGATTTTGGTCACAGCCCAAAAGACCTTGTCAAGTCTATTTGACTCCTTGCGCGCACACACACACACACACTGAGCTCGGACAAAAATCACAGAGCTTGAGCTTTCAAAAATGGCGTCCATGGCGTCCAACGCCGCCCATATCCACCGCCACCACAAGTGCCCCACAATAAACAAAAGGGCTTTCCCTAAACACACATTTAGCCTAATTACTGTATCTCAGCAGAAAAAAGAGCAGGAGGAGCCGTCCCGTGGGCCCCCCGAGCAAAAGGGTCGCAGGTACTTCTTACATAATCCTATAACATACCAACAAATCGTCTGCTTATTTCCGATTTAATGTTAGAAAAAGGAGTTGTTTTGTAGGGAAATTATTCTGAGGAGCAGTGGGGTTGCAGTTCTTGGAGCAATTTTCCACTTCAGGTTCCTAAAGTTTCCATTTTTACGTAATTTGTTCGTTTATTCTTTTCGTACTTTCACCTCTGTATGATTTTGTTAGCTAACTTAGTACAATAAAATATGGGTAGTTAGTTAGTTTCAATCATTTCTGCCTAATCATGTAAATATTGAGCTCAGCAGTCTATGAAAAGATCATATAGAAATTTAGACATAAATTCTGATTTGGACCATTTGGGGTTTGATGCAGTGGAACAAAACCCAATTACTTGGGAGTGCAGAAAAGTCCACCTGGTCTAGCATTGTGCCCTGCAACAAATAATTGTGTATCAACTTCTGAGAATATGAGTGATCTCACACATTATGCCCCTCCTTGGTAAGTTCTCT